TTAAATGATGCAAATGGTGTATGTGTATTTATACTATAGGGTTGTTCAGTGCTTGATTGGCTGGTGATCACTCTAAAGTGTTTGGTTATTGTCAGATAAATGCACTGCTAAAGTAGTTCCAGCAAGTTTTGAGTGCATTACAGCTCCATATCAATGATACAAGAGTACGAAATCACATCAGAACACAGCAGAAGGAGGAGGAGGAGATGTGGAAGAAACTAGTGCTACACAAAGATGTTGGAAAAGGACAAAAAACTGACAAATAAAGCCTCAAATACAACAACTCAACAGTGGGAACAAGAGAATAGTTCAATCATTAAAAAACAACGTACTCTAACAATGCCCATCAGCAAATATTCCTTATATAGTACTGGTATATAATGCATTCCTTATATAGTAGAGTTTCCTTTAACTTAGTCCTTTATTTATCTAGGGTCACCACAGCGGAATGAACCCCTTATTATTCCAAAATATGTTTTATGCAGTTGATGCCCTTCCAGCTGCAACCCAGTACTGGGAAACACAAATACACTTTCACACTCGTACATTACAGCCAATTTAGTTCATCAATGTGTTTAGACTGTGGGGGAAACCGGAGCACCCGGAGGAAACCCATGCCAACACAGGGAGAACATGCAAACTCCACACAGAAATGCCAACTGACCCAGCCGGGTCTCGAACCAGTGACTTTCTTGCTGTGAATAAACTAATTGTAATACAACACTATAGCTGCGTCCCAAATGGCACACTATGCACTCATGCACTATGTACTTATGCACTTACACACTCAACAGGATAGTATATGTATGTAGTGTCGTCCCAAAAGGGTCACTAATGTTTTTTTACTAAGCGGAAATTCAAACCGTTTCCCTGATGACGTTTGACGGTTGGCAGATCAGTGAAATAAACGACCAAATGATCAAATAATACCTGCCGTGAGTATAACCGCATTCACCATCGGGAGGCGCTATAATCACTCTCATAGGAGAATTTTGCTTTCACCATCCAAAATAAATAAAGTTATCCATCATGTGCGCCCGATAGCTCCGCCCCTTCCGCTACGTGAGCAAACCTGCGGTTGTTGAGTGCGTGAAGTGTCCATCATTACACACTTCATTTTAGCGGCTGAATGAGTTCATCATCCGGGTAATTAAAGTGCACTTATTATTTTCCAGTGCACTTATTGAGTTTCCAGTGTGAACACACCACTTAACACTATTTATACTACAAAGTGGCGTAGAATAGTGCATAAGTATGTGATTTGGGACGCAGCTTATGAAACCATGACCCATGTGCTCATGCTCACTGAGCAAGCTCATACACAACATACACAACATACACAAAAAGTAAAATGAATGAGGAGGCATGTGGTCATAACACAACATCTAAATCAAGTGATTGTAGCATGTCAAAGTCATAATTATGCATATAAAATATATTTTCCCAACAACAAAATTGTGGCTAGTGGAAATGGCGAGTGGCTAGGAATGTTGGAAAACTACTGGCCACACTGGCTGGTGATCAAAAAAGAGCAATGGTTTCTCCCTCAAAATGTCATTGGCTGTGGTTTGGTAGATTGACTGAGCTGTTGGGGAATGAGTTGTTGTCAGATCTAAAGTGCGTGTGTTCCCTCTTGTGGATCACTTAGGTAGTGTCACATAGTATGAACACCACAGCGTCTAAAAGACACTAGATTAAGTCATGTAGTGTGAACGGCAAAGCGATCTGGCGATGTTTAAAATCCTGTAGTGGGAACTAGGCATTAGATGTTTATGTTTTAAAGTTTTACCCGACCATAGCTGCGTCCTAAATCGCATACTTATGCACTATTCCAGTGGTTTCCAACCTGGGGTCCGCGCCCCCCTAAGGGGGGCGCCAGAGTTTACAAGGGGGGCGCGGAAGAGGGTAAGTGTTGAGGTAGAAAAAGGCATAAAAATGCTCCACTATAATATAGGCTGTACAATTAATCGAAAATCCGATTTCGATTTTAAACGACTATAAAAAAGCATTAATCGAGATAAACGATTATTGCATCATATACCGCCACCTTTCCAGTTGTACACGTGTTGCTCTTTAAAGCGCGAACGAGCGAGTGCTTATGTGTGTGTGTGCAGCAAGCACACTCGGTCAGAATCATGCGGCCGGTCAGCATTCGCACTCTGAGACGAGCAGAGGAGCGGAGACATCTAAAGTCATGTTAACGTGAGCGCTTTAATGGTCAAATAGGTGTCAAAACGCGGTGTTTAGTGATTATTTATATTAACCCTCGTTTGTGTAATAAACGAGTTGAGAATCAAAAGACACGTGAAAGAGAAATCAAAGAGACAGCGAGAAATATTCCTGCTGCCGCCTGTTTCTATGATTTTTAATCAAACAACAAGAAAATCCCTCACTAGTCTTGACTGAAGGACTGCTGTAGCTAAAGTGTTTTTCTTACAGTGAAGATGCTTAAAGCACAGTTTGTTTAATATTTTTATTATATTGTATTTATTTCTCTTTCCTTTGCAGGGTGGAAAATAACTGTATGTATACACTTGAAGTCAGAATTATTAGCCCTCCTGAATATTAGCAACCCTTTTCCTCCCAATTTCTGTTTCATGGAAAGAATATTTTGTTTTGTTTTTCTGAACATAATAGTTTTAATATCTCATTTCTAATAACGGATTTCTTTTATCTTTGCTATGATGACAGTACATAATATTTTACTAGATATTTTTTAAAATACAAGCATTCAGAATAAAGTGCAGCTCAAAGGCTTAATAAGGGTAATAAGGCAAGTCATTGTATAACAGTGGTTTCTTCTGCAGACAATCAAAAATATTTATTGCTTAAGGGGGCTAATAATATTGACTTTAAATTAAATATTTAAACCTGCTTTTATTCTAGCTAAAATAAAACAAATTAGCCTAGAAGAAAAAATATTATAGGAAATACTTTTAAAATTTCTTGCTCTGTTATACATAATTTGGGAAATATTTATATAAAAAAAAATTCTCAGGAGTGCTTATAATTTTGACTTTAACTGATAATCGTTTTGAATAAACGTGATTACAATTATGACCAAAATAATCGTGAATATGATTTTTCCCAAAATCGAGCAGCCCTATTATTTTATATGTATTTTTAATTTTATATATATATCAAAACACATGCTTAAAATTCCAACATAATAGTAAAAATAATTAAAATAAATAACTTAAAATAATTATTTAAATTTTGCTCACTCACGCAATGTGCTTGTCAACGTGTCGTAAAGGCAAAATCAAAACAAAATCGGCAGAGAGACGTAAATGCAGTGTTTCTTCAGAGGCGAAGAAAAAGATTAAACAGTATGACAGCCTACCTAAATTTTGGTTTTATTGAAGGCCAAGACAAGTTAAAACTGATTAATTTATATTTTCTATACATATTATATATTAATATTACACAAACACACACATACAGTATATATATATATATATATATATATATATATATATATATATATATATATATATATATATATATATATATATATATATATATATATATATATATATATATATATATATATATATATATATATATATATATATATATATATATATATATATATATATATATATATGTATATATGTATGTATATATATATATATATATATATATATATATATATATGTATATATATATATATATATATATATATATATATATATAAATATATATATATATATATATATATATATATAGATATATATATATATATATATATATATATATATATATATATATATATATATATATATATATATATATATATATATATATATATATATATATATATATATATATATATATATATATATATAGATATATATATATATATATATATATATATATATATATATATATATATAT